TATTACCTCATTTCTCATCGCGAGCCAGCCAGCCTCATGCGGATGTAAGTCGTTCGACTTGGTGCACACAGTATGTGCCAATTCATGTTTTTTGACGATAATATTTCGTCTCAAGTTGTGAGGTATCACGGTCAACACAATTTCCGAATCAACAGCGTTCCGGGTCATTATGCCAACCTCACGCAGACGCTGTCGGAGGTTCACCAATCCTCTGGCATTCAGATCGACGATGAGGCTGTTTGCGAATCAACACCGGGTCATTATGCCAACCTCACGCAGACGCTGTCGGAGGTTCACCAATCCTCTGGCATTCAGATCGACGATGAGGCTGTTTGCCCCACTCACGAAACTAGAGCCTTGTGTTCAGCCCAGTGCTTGACAGCCAATCAGCCACTTCCATGCCAGGTTCTGGAAAATGACATGGAATTCTCGCAACCTGGATCTCTTGAGGCTCTGCTCTACTCCAGGGGTTTGCTATTGGTTTTGACGTGAAACAATTGACCAATCAGGTATGACCTTCACTATCCAACGTCCAGAAGTTGGTTTGGTATAATTTCTCAATGGGCGAGTAATCATTTGCAGCCCTAGTTAGGCCTCGACAGACATATTCGATAACTTCCCTTCAATGCGTTAGGAATGCGCCGCTGACTAGCGTCCGTTGGAACAGCGAGCACGTATCCGTGTCTGGGTATTGTGGGATTCAGCGGAGCAGCAATCGTGGCATTAAGATAACTCGTCCGTCCCCCAATTTATATCCCAGTAGTAATACGGATTTCTTAGTGAGTTGTGCATTAGCTTCATTTATCCGCAGGCCAGCGTCCGAACCCGCTTCAGTACAGCCGCAGTGAACTGCGGGCTCTGGGATACTGGGTCGCTGTACACAACGATATCGGTTGCATACACGGCAGCATTCTAGGGTCATTCGGTGAACGAAGCATGAAACACCGTAATGTGAATAATGCCCTAGGCAAACCAGAAGACATTCGTCCAAATTGAATTTGGGTATGCTAAAATGTAAACGCCGTGTCCGAGACCCAATTTATATCCCAGTAGTAATACGGATTTCTTAGTGAGTTGTGCATTAGCTTCATTTATCCGCAGGCCAGCGTCCGAACCCGCTTCAGTACAGCCGCAGTGAACTGCGGGCTCTGGGATACTGGGTCGCTGTACACAACGATATCGTTTGCATACACGGCAGCATTCTAGGGTCATTCGGTGAACGAAGCATGAAACACCGTAATGTGAATAATGCCCTAGGCAAACCAGAAGACATTCGTCCAAATTGAATTTGGGTATGCTAAAATGTAAACGCCGTTTTATCGCGTTCTCAGGGCTAGTGCGCACACACTGTATTTAGCTTTGTTCCCTCTTCGACTCAACAATATTCCTAACATCCATCAATCAAGCACAACTCTCTCTTTCCATTTATCTAGATAACATCTTGGTTGGCACGGAGCTAATCATATCCCACCCGACTAAAAGAAGTATTCTAAATTCTTATTATGTAAAGTGTTCGCGTACGAGTGCAACGATGATGCCTGGTCTGCCACCTCTGTATCACCGGCTCGTTCAAGTGCACCTCCGCGTTTCCGTCTGTATCGCTGCAAGATGTTCTGCGAGTTGGTCAACTCCGGTCAACAGTTCGTCCACTGTTCAACCACCTTTGCAGTCCCGTGACTGGAAAGTTTCCAGGAACGTCTCAGCCAACTGCCCTATCAGATGCACCAGCACCTTCACGCAAGGCGCTAATCCAACGAATGCTGCTTCCTGGCGATGAAATTGGTCAAGTAAGAACCGGTATTTCTCTTGCCCCCCTTGAACCGCCTCATCATACTGACACGTGGATTTTCATTTAAAATGCATTTACTGGTTGATTCTTAATCTAATCCGCTGGATTTGAAATCTATTGTTGATTTGTTCTGACCGAAACATAAATTTTGCACTGGGGCAGCAAACCATATTGATGGCTTACAAAGCTCGCACTTAATCCGTGCAGTTTTTTTGGTCTCTAATTCGCCAGCGGGTCAAGCTTATCCGATCGTTTAGTTTCCGATGACCAAAGTCTAGAGTATTCGTGTACAAAACTGCTTCGGACATTTCGTTTCGTAGTGCAAGCACACAAAATCCATAAAGTAACCGACGGGCTTAGGAGAACCAACCTCTTGCCCTGTATTTCACCATCTGATAATTATTTTTACTTGCAGACGCATTGTGATGCATTTTACTGTAGAACTGTGTCGTTGATCGAGTGAACCGTTTGACATAATTTAATACATTCATCTATCATTGAAGGGAATGACAATCGTTTGTTGTGACATCCAAACTGCCAGGAGTTTCAATTCGAATAAGCAGTTCGGGTGAGCAGCTGAAAACTGATTAGTTCTTTACATTTTGCTGATTTCTCTAATTTTGATTGCTCGAGGATGGCGTGATGAATCATTTCATGTGGAAGTATGAAGCATTCGTGCTCGCAAATTGTTCACATATTTTCTATATTGGCTACACTCTAGAGGTTCACTGTTATTAGCAAGTAGTTTTACAACGGTAGTTACTGAATGTAGGATAAATGGTTTATTGCGCAACATAAGCTGCGTGCCACTTGCCATTGAGAAACTTTGTCCCCTTCGGAGATTCAGAACAGCGGGTGTTCTTCTTTGCGTTCGTCTATCGCAATAGTTTTGCCAAACAATTAGTACTTATTCGAGTTTGAAGACGGGAGTTGACTTTCTAGAGAATATAAGTGGTGTTCAAAGCGTTAGGTAGTCGTTTGGCCGGGCGAATCATGTGAATATGTGCTCACTCCCCACAGACCGAAACACCTGATATCTTTTCTGATCATGCTTGGCGCGTACGCGAATTTTGCATCGTGTTGACCTTCAAAAATCGGACCTATTACAGCGGTTTGGATAAATCCGTTTTAAACGTTCTACGGAGTTTGCGTTTTGGAACACAACTTCCCTCTACTCGGTCGATCCTTATACAAGCTGAACGTCTAATTCAACCTTTGACAATCGGTGAAAATACTAGCCACTGTGATGGGTCAACTCGCTGTCCATCAGTTAGTCTGTTCATCGGACGTAACAACAGATGGACTGCCACAGAACGGACAACGAGCTGGCTTCGTGCAGTCTTCTCAGCAAAGTTACATACTGGATACAAAATTGTAGATGGAAGGTTGCTACATTCTTACGACCAATAACCTTGGTACCATGACGTGACAACCTACTTGAAAGCGGTCGTTCTCTTGTTTCCACGGGTGGTCAAACGGAACCGTACGGAAACCGAATATTTAGAAGCTTGGCCGTCACACTGTCGTTACCAAGCGCAATTGTTTGCTTCATGAATGTATTTTCTTTGAATGTTCATGCTCTAACTCAATATTGACCTTCATGCAGTTTAGTTGTCTCAATACTCACTAATTTACGATTGTCTTCAACCACATATTCCATGGTTTCAAAATTTCCTTGAAATAGATTTCCGGTTGAAGAAATTTCTCCGAATACTAACTGCAATCATTGGCAAGAATGTATAGTAAATGAATGGGAAAAATTGCAGTGTGTAGTAAGGATTGGGTGATTTTCTGTTTGGCTGCGCACAAAATAGTGCTGGATCCATCTTGCTCATGAGTACCCGCCCACACGGGTTCGACCAACCCTCGAATGTTGTCGATAAACCTCACTCCTTTCGAGGATGTCATGCACCGGGCACTGGAGTAGAATGACTAACATTCATATCACTTTGCACGCACGTGAGTCCTCTATCCTCGTAATTTTTACCCGTTCATCCGTCTGAGCATTTTACCAGAACCCTGAGCCTTTGGAAGTTTTCATTAAAGCACCTGTTGTTAATTGTGATTAGTATATGTGCCACCTAAGAACACAGAGCGCTTTACTCAGGTAATCGCTTTGCTTCAATGAAGGGTTTTTGATAAAGAACAAAAAACTTTCGGACTATGCACTTATTTACCTACACCGAGTGGAATATTACCCTGGCTGGGGTACCTCGTAGTTTCACTGTTTAATATTATCATGACAAAGAAACCACGGACCTTTATTCCGATTTGATGCGATAATGAGTAATGACTCTTCATTTTTGTGCTACCAGGTGTAGCATTTCATTTCCCGATTATTGCAAGTTCGAACAAAGTCGCAAGAAATTCATTTCTAATTCCCATATCCCTTGTTCGTCTTATGGACTGTGGTAGACAGACATTTGGTTTAGAGGCTTTATCCTTGTGATCTGTCCCCATTTGGATCCAAGGTTAAGCACAGGCAGCTAACCAAAAACAACTAATAGCTGGCTGTAAAAACGTATTCTGTATGCGTGTCGCGGTATACTAACGAGGTAAACGCCAACAGGTAGACAGGCGCTGGGGAAGCTCGTGCTAAATTTGTTTATTTTGGACGCAACACAGACTTCATACGTTTGCTGAAAACCCACAAACAGCTCACCGCCGGTTTCATCGAAGTAAATTCCCTAGCTCAAGACTTTGTGTGACCTTAGATGTCACACATATAAGTCAACAGGAAACGTCATGAAACCATCGATTTACTCTGTGAGAAGATACACAGCTTCTATGAAATATCAAATTAGGTTCATTTAATGCAAACACACATTTTCCCTTCGATTTTCAAATACAGAAATCCGAATCATTGCCTCGCTGAAACAAAGTCAATAGGATGCCAGCTACTACGCAAAATCCGGATGCAGACTCCGTTTGCTGTTCACTACTGTGTGAAGCGCTTATGCGCTTAACGAAATAAGTCACGTTTGTCCTAGAAAACGCCACATATTACTCGTGTGCACAGTGTTGAAAGTGAGTTTGCAAAAATGATCAGTCATTGAGCAAGGTGATCAATGGCCCACCATATCCTGGTTTGGTGGAACTATCTACCACAGACCTATTGAATGCCTGGTGGACAGTTTTTTTCCACTATCGGCATACATGAGTAAGGCAAAGTGCAATTCACACGAGATGCACAGTATAAAATTTCAGGCATATGAAGCTTCAAGTAAACCTGAACGTGATGCGTCGTTGTTCGCTTCTATTTGGGTTCTTGTTCTGCATCAACCACCTATCTTGGTTGGACGCCGTCGGTGTCCAAAATTGGTCATCCACATTTAACAACATTCCGTGGAAGAACTGGGTTGTCCTCGTTGCTGGTACCAATGCCTGGGAAAATTATCGACATCAAGTAGGTTTCCGTTGGTTTGTCACAGTTTTGAGGCTAGAACGTTGATCAAAATCCCGCAAGAATGGGTTTTCAAAGTGGAAATTAAAACCAGTGGTACACTATCAGCTGTCTCACCGAATTTTTACCATGATCGTGACATTTCACTCGAGAAGGCGGTGCACAGAAGCCACGACTAATGGACACACTAATGGACACACATTGCGTAGCTTGTGTTGGTTTTCGTCAGTAATTCTATGGCATGAAGAGATAAGTTGCGTTGGGTGGGTCGATTCACCGGTGAATACTAATGTGCATACCGTGATTCATGTTAGTAGGATACCAAAATCGTTATGTTGGGTGAAATAGCTGATGTGCGTAGAAGGTTTGTTTTGCATAACCACAAGAGTATTTCGACGGCCCCCACTAAGCATTTACCCATTCTTTGGAGCTTCGTTGTGTTACCGATGCGCTCTCAGACTCCGCAATACCTTAGCCTCAGTTGACCGGATGAACAAACCAGGTGTCAGAAATCTCAAATAGTCCACTGGCGTAGGAACAAAATTAGTTGCTACCCCAAACAGATCTATTCTTTCGCTAGTCGATGTGAGCACATAATTGTATACAACTTGGTACGATGAAGCCACGCAAATATGATTAATATTATGGAGAGGCGCTTTGATGGAATCCGTTTGTTCATTCCGGAATCATTTGCATGAGAATCGCATGAAAAAATTTCATACGTTTCAAATATATCTGTACCCATTCCTAAGATTCACTTGGTAATATTTTATTGCCACTATCTTTCGCTGCAATCTTGAACGAGAATATCGAGTATATTATTATCGAAGTCAGGAAATGACAAGATAGAGGGGCTATAGTACGCCTGTCGTTGTTTCGACTAAAAGCTGTCTTCCACACATCTCATTCCTGACTGGAATCCTGCTTCCTAGTGGTGACTCTGTCTTTAAAGTTCTTCGCCAAATGACGTGATAAGGCTAAGGGAACATTCACTTCACAACGTATGCCGCGTCAAACTCATTGAAAGTAGCAACACTTGCTTCCGTATCATGCAGGTGACAGTGAGCTGAAACACGCAAGTGATGCAGTTCAGCAACTGTAGTGAACATTTTAATCCTCATTAAGAAGAAAGCGATGGCGAACCCAGTGCAAAAATATGCTACCCATTTTGTTTTAGAGCGAATGCAATAAACAGTGACAGACAAACTGACGAATACTTTTAGAGCTTTTAAAGCTGTTGCAACTGAGTTGACCGCGGATGTTGCAGCTGACGACATTGGGAGGCAAACTGATCCCTTAGTTATAAGAACGGAACTATATGGATATCCCTGGCACCAGAATGAGGAAAGCGAAAATGCCGTATATCTGAAGCAGAAGCAATAAAGGCTTCATCAATAGCCTTTTTTCGATGACGCGAGCTGCGGTTGACAGCAGACGTCGCCATCTGTTTGATGACAACACTCACGGCCGATGCGACATGATATTATTTGTGAGCGGGCAATCCATGCTAGAAAACAGGCTGTGATGCTACCAGGGTAATGAGGAAAGTCCTTCATAGCGAAGTGGTTTGTTTGCAAACATCAACTGAACAGCCATAAACTATTGGACAGGAAAGTAGGCGTTCCACTTGCGCATCGGTTTTAAAATCCGAACATTCTCGAAATTTCTTTTCAGCTTTCACGCGCCTTCATTAAATATCATGCTCTTGTAGCGGTTCCACAAGTTTCTTAACAAACTTCTTCCATTAGACGCTGAGCGCAACTTGGAAAAGACAGCAGGGTGTTCGCATTGTCATCACTAGTATGCGCCTGTACTCCACGACACCCGGACATATAAGAGAGGCTATTTAGGATCCACGATTAAGGCATTCATCCCGAAAGCCCATTTACACTGGTACATTCCCGAATTGGTGGTGGATTATGCAGGCATTTAGGGAATCCCAAATTCCCAAACCGAAATCATATCAAGCCCCCAACCTGGAGGACTTCTACCCATAGACCAACCTGGTATGGGAGGATCTGTGAGTATCCCATATACTCTGCTCAGTGGGTAACTGAGACGCACAAACCGTCAAGTCACTGTGAGATCCGACCTCTTTCTGACAGACGCAGATACGGTAGCTTTTTAGTTCGAGTGGAAATAATGTCAACGAGGGAGCATGAACGATCTACGAGGTTCTTTTAGGATTCACCGTCATTTAAAATGGTTTTAAATGAAATATATTCCAGGTGCAAGGGTGTTATCCATGGTAATTCTGATGACCTTATTTGGCAAAGAAATGACCAACCTTGATCACCTAGTCACTGAGCCATTAAGGGCCGATCCAGTCGAGAAAGCCTTCCGGTAAAACACTCATAGAGCATGTGAAAATGATTAAATCACCGAAAATGTACCTATATCTTTTTTACATAGCCGAAACGGACAGTTTTGGGTTTTTAACCTGACTGATGAAAACTCATGAAGACACTCTGAACAAGTACTTATATACAATTTTGGAATCAACATTTGGACCGCTACTGATCGAAGTCGTTCGTCCACTGAAGCACCATTTGCTCGAGGGGTGTTTTGAGGATCGTATTGAAGATGTTTAACAAAATCAGTTCGTCCCTATCCATTCTTAAGATGCAGTGGGCAGTATATTATTGCAATGAGTTTAACCGCAATCTGACTATTTATCTAGTACACAAGCGACTTACAGATTCGGAGGTATTTTCAAAGTCAAGGGAATTCAAAACTGCAAGGATCCGGTGCACAGGTTCTGACGCTTGACTGAATGTGCAACTGGGGTCCACAGAAGCCCTTACAGAGTAGAATAATATGTCCTGTGTTCGGAATAATGCATCTCAATACTGTTGGGATAACGGGATTATTCTACATACCCCGTTTGCCTCCTTTATCCCCCATGCCTCACTCTGCCCGTTATCCTTAATTCACGTATCATTTGTGTTCTCATTCAGGCTGACGTTTTCCATGCGTATCAAATCGTGCGTAAAAACAAAGTTCCAGCGGAGAATATAATTACCTTCGCCTACGACGACATTGCAAACAATCCCAAGTAAATATCACGTACAAAATTTTCTATCCGATAACAACTACAATGGTCAAAACGCGGTTCGTTTTTTACTTTAAAACGTCGCACCGTTGAGCCATATTTCTCATAGATGTAAATCATGAATAAACTGTGGGTGCATATGATTATGAATTTGCGTGCGTCACGTGAGATGTGTAAAAATGTCTCCTGGTTCATGCATTGTCATGGCTGTGAACGCCACAGAACCCCAATATTATCAGCACAATTGATGCCAGGTCAAAGTGCAGCCATCTTGGTATATCATTGCTGGTGTTAATGCTAAATTTATGTCCTCATTTAGTTTTTCAGTAATGTGAAATTAATCGCGATAAGTTCGTCGTTTGAGCGAACATTAAGCAGACAGACTAGTAAGCTTAACATTTTGTAATACAGTCGATTGCCGGCATAAGTAGAAGAAATTTACTAGACGTAGAATGTTTGATCTCACCTGCAGGTTCTGAAAATCGTAAGTTGTTCATTGTCCGATCGAATTTCATTTGAGGGCACCGCATTAGAAGATGCTGAAACAAACTCTAATACTGGTGGCGTTGCAAAGTAAAGTTAACTAACATGATTACCTTTTCACACCACATTTGTCACCTTCCTTATTGTGCACTGTATCGGGATACTTGTAGGATAACTAACTTATTTCTGCCTAAATGATTGTTAGTTAATCGAATGTGTGGCAGAAGGTTCACAAATCGTCGTGAAAATTTATTCCAAGAAAAGCCCGGGGACAAACTTCCAACATAAATTGTTAGCGCTTGTTTTTTATTTCCGATCGACATGTTAATTTCTCTCAAAAATAGCACTGCCACTTTCCAATCTTTCATTCCAGAAATCCGTTTAAAGGCAAAGTGTTCCATGACTACCTGCACGAGGATGTCTACCAGGGTGTGGAAATTGACTATCGTGGAAAAGTAAGTGCGAGTTACGGTGCGAATGAATTTCTGCATCAGTTTACACAAGGTGCAAGTAAAATGACACTATAGAAAACACTACAGAAGACAAACCGTCGGACAGACTAATCAGTTTTACCATATTACAGAATGGTAAATGTGCTTGAGCGAACACTATCCATAAGGTTATAGGCCAAAATGTGGGATTCAGTTCAGTGCTGATAAGTGGCACTCACTTCAAGATGGCGGCTACTTGTATTCCTTAGCTACTGAGGTAATGCTTCCAGGTAGTCCATGTTCAACTCAACTACCAACACTGGGCCTGGCAAACAGACCAAAAATCGAATTCTTCAGCTTTTATCATACAGCGACAATCGTGGAAATAATGAGTGAAGATGGTGAGCAGATCCTAGATTTGAATAATATCTTAGGCTGAAAGTGGATGGATACTGGGAATAGAATGAGTGTGGAGAACAATTGTCGCAGGTGTACTTAATCATGCGTGTTCATCTGTTTTAGGATGTCACACGGGATAACTTCGCGAAAGTATTAAAAGGCGATCAGAAACTTGCAGCCAATAAGAAGAAGGTGCTGGAAAGGTGAGTTTGCGCGCAAGTGGATGTTGCTGATGAACCGGCAGAACACAGCTAGAATCCTAGTGTTCCAGGCTAGACCTCTGGGATTGATGAACTGCGAGTTTTATATTTTAGTAAATAAATTGATACATCATCTGTTTAATTGAAGGTCCCCAGAGTCAGTCAAAATATTTGCTTCGTTTTAAAGGAAACACGGTTTTTTTCAATATCGGACTATGCGTTATAATCATATCATCTGCATAGGTCACGTACACACCGTTTGGATTTGCAACTCCGCCGAAATCCGTAATCACCCACTATTTTGCGGGTTTTCTGAGTGACCGATACTTCCTGAGGGGCTGCGATGAATGATCGAATATATATTTTCAGTTCCCGTGAAACTATTTGAGGTCTAAATTTTTAAGAACACTGGTCAGTAATACTTCTTCAAGAGCTTCATTTTAGTTGGTGGTCTTCGGTCATTCAGCATCGCTTCCGGGAACTTTGTGCCTCGCGTTCTGTTTGGTCACCATTCCAAAGCAGCGGTCTGGTAGCTGTTCATATAGACCTACTCTGATATTTCGCCAATCCTGACAATAGCATGAAGTGGAGAGTTCCCTCCCAAAGCACTCCATTTTAAACAAACACATTCCTGACCCATCCGCAAAGTAATAATTGGTCAGGAGCACTATATTGACGGTTGCGTACACTATGGAGTTTTCACAGTATATCCTGTTTTAGCAAGCTAGTTTCCTGCAAATCAACACTTTCATGCAGAATATTTCGTTGGTCACATTCAAAAACATTTTTATTGCTAGCCATTTTGTGAGTCTAACAGTTCGTATTTTGGAAACTGGCGAATGTTATACAAAGATTTATTCAAGGAGAGCTCGAAGTTATTTTAATATCTTCCATTTCGGAGCAATCTGCTCTATTTTTCTGCCTATCAGGGGAAGAGCATTTGGCCAAGCGGACCCTGAAAATTAGGCGACAGCCCAAAATAAATTCAGAACAAACCGAGCAAAATGAAGTACCAAAACCTGAAGTCTGATTGAGAGTCTATTAAATGTGGGGAAGGCGGACCGCAAAATAAATACTCAGTAACCGGTCAGTCGGACCGCTACCAATGGGTCCTCAGACAGAATCTACTGAAAGAACCTATCAAATTCAGGGAATGAAAAACACAACGCAGTGCACATCGAATTGGGCCAATTGAACCCCGCAAACTTTATGCTCTCGTCAACCAGTCGCAGCCACATAAAACCAGACGGGTTTGGAGGAACTGTCGACTAATACATTTACTCAAGATGCCACTTCGGTTGGTGATGAAACATTTGCAAGATGATCATCGGGATCAGAGAACCGACGGGTGTCCACTTGATCGAAGACCAGCGAACAGAACATATCTTGGATAGTTTCATATAAAACCATATGGCCTCTTGGACATCCCGGTTTAAAATGTAGGGTTGGCTCTCGTTGGTTAAAATATTTCTTCAGTAGTTTAGATACTTTCATGCACAGACATAATCATGTTAGTAAGAGTATGATTTCGAAATAGCTGAGCGTGACCGTTTCACAGGCAAGAGGATAAAACAAACTACGTGAAATATAAAACTGCATCTAGTCACCTTTATGCATTCAAAATCATAAAAGCTATTATACCATGTGAATGAACAATAAACCAACGGACGTCCGAAAATAGAATTTTCATTCCTGCATTCATGTGGCCATGCAAAAAGCAGACCGGTCAAAGTTAATTTGACTACGGATTATATCCAGTAGCGTGGACAATTCAATATTATGACCGGTGGATTCACTATCTTCCTATTTCCGCCGTTTTTTGTCGTGCTTTAATTGTGCCAACCAATAATTTCCGCTTCAAGTCCACCTTAACATTTCTGCTTACTTACAGCGGTCCTGATGACAACGTGTTCATCTTCTTCTCTGGCCACGGTGGGGCTTCCCACATTGCCATCCAAGAAGAACACGTACGTTCTCTAAATTATTGTAACCACTATAGTTTTTCGATAGGAATCTAGAGGAGGAGCGGCTTGGAGAGGCTTAGGTAAACATATGTTGGTGAATTATCTTTGGTAATTGTTTATAAGTGAGACTTTATGGTCAACAGTGGGCCACACATAAACCGAAAAATGGAACACAAGCCGCGATGTTCGGACGTGTCTCCTAAATGTGATATCCCAGTAATATTTCCGGTAGTTTTGGTGATACCGTCAAGTAGATTTTCTTTTACTCATTTTAGATCACTCAACTCACATGATTTCGCGGTCAATCCATTTAGACTTCTGAGCAAGGGTAGTTATTGTAAGGAAAGAAGCTAGTCGCATACAGTCACTCATGATGAACGCATCAGGTAATGTCTTCCTGACAAGACAACATACTCCGTATTTCTGTATGGAAAACCAATCTGTTATGAAAACCCGGGATTCAATCCCCATTGGGATCCATCAGCGGTGCGTACAGTAGTTGCAATATTAAACCGTTCGGACACGGACAGCCAAACGTCAGGCTGATTTGTCCGCACTTGATCAGGACATAACTTGATCAGGCATGACGTCTTCAATCAACGGATCCACACCACTGATGACTGACTCCTCGAGTGACAACCCCTCAAATGAAAAATATCCATGAGTCGTGTGAATTGGCGTTCCATTTGGACCACTTACAGACTGTTTGTATTGAGATCACTTTTGAAAGCGTTCAGTTTGGATTGGGGCCAAAATACTCTCCATAGGCTGGTGAATGGAACAAATGTTTGAAAACGGTGGTCAAATTGACATTCGAAGTGACATGGAAAGCAGTCATTCAAAGTGCCCATTCATAATTCTGACTTTGTGACTGCTACGTTATTCACTCTAATAATGGTCCTTGACGCCCTTTTCAAAATATGTTCACAGTACCGTCAACGGTATAGCTGACCAACACCGTAAGAGAAATGCTGGCACTCATATACCGGGGTACGAAAACACGGTTAACATAATAATCAGTAGGTTTACTAAGCAAAACACATTCAAAATTTGTTTTTCATCTGATTCCTTTAAACGGTATTCCAAAAAATCAATAGTCCTTCAGCTGGAACACCTATTCGGTGCGTAGCTGATATTCCACCTAATGAAGTACGAGGGCAGAAACACTGATAGCTTGCCAAAACCCAGACGGGAACAGTCGAAATGCTGAGGTTGGGTTCGAAATCTTTAGTTCATGCTCTTATCCATGCGCCCTCGCCATTTCATGAGAATTTTCGTTCGTGTGTTGCGACAGCTGGATGCCGTGGAGTTGAACGGGCTCCTCGCCCACATGCATTCGAAAAAAAAGTACAACAAATTGGTGCTGTACGTGGAGGCTTGCCAATCTGGTTCTCTGTTTCGAAATATTCTTCCGAAAAATGTGGGAAGTAAGTGGCGTAAACCTTTGGCTGGTTGTTTTGCAGATCCTGAGTAATAGCACTTAGAATGTCCTTCAAGTACGGTTAAAATACTGCACTTGTCAGTACAACAATCTTGGTGCTTCCTTGTCTTCTTTGTGATACTTGTAAGGAAGTACTTTCTCCCTCAACAACCGTTTAGCCAAAGATTACACAATATTCAGCCTTCAATGATTGTTGTCACTTCTGCTGACGAATTAGTTGCATATCGCTGCAGAAAATCATTGTGTAATTCGTAAAACACCTGCGATATTTTGGTGTCCCTGTACAGCTGGTGCCATTGCAGGTAGATACCGTCTTAGTAGATTGTGAATAGATCGCGCTATTTTATAAAATTTACACCTAAGCCCATCAGTCAACGGGTTAGACGCTTGCATGCAACAAAAATACAGATTATACATTCATATACTGATTTGGTTTTTACGAGCTGAACCAAACGAACCCAGCGAAACGTCTCGTTCATGAGAGTGTTTGGCCAGTCCGTCCAGCCTGGGTTCAAGAATGAATTTGGTTATATGGAAAGTCGAGTTCTTCTCATACCTGGTTCGCCAAAAGAGGCGGGAAAACCATAAAATCTGACAAGGAGTTGTCAGAGATCTTCTGAGAAGTGCTTCAGTTCCAGAATCCATGCGGTTTCATGATTTCTGCGAGTCACAGGATATGTTTGACAACAATTTGCTTCAATCTTTTACGCATATTTAATGGTGACCTGTATTATCTTGTGTCTGCAGTCTGCTTGCCAAAACCCAGACGGGAACAGTCGAAATGCTGAGGTTGGGTTCGAAATCTTTAGTTCATGCTCTTATCCATGCGCCCTCGCCCTTTCATGAGAATTTTCGTTCGTGTGTTGCGACAGCTGGATGCCGTGGAGTTGAACGGGCTCCTCGCCCACATGCATTCGAAAAAAAAGTACAACAAATTGGTGCTGTACGTGGAGGCTTGCCAATCTGGTTCTCTGTTTCGAAATATTCTTCCGAAAAATGTGGGAAGTAAGTGGCGTAAACTTTTGGCTGGTTGTTTTGCAGATCCTGAGTAATAGACTTAGAATGTCCTTCAAGTACGGTTAAAATACTGCACTTGTCAGTACAACAATCTTGGTGCTTCCTTGTCTTCTTTGTGATACTTGTAAGGAAGTACTTTCTCCCTCAACAACCGTTTAGCCAAAGATTACACAATATTCAGCCTTCAATGATTGTTGTCACTTCTGCTGACGAATTAGTTGCATATCGCTGCAGAAAATCATTGTGTAATTCGTAAAACACCTGCGATATTTTGGTGTCCCTGTACAGCTGGTGCCATTGCAGGTAGATACCGTCTTAGTAGATTGTGAATAGATCGCGCTATTTTATAAAATTTACACCTAAGCCCATCAGTCAACGGGTTAGACGCTTGCATGCAACAAAAATACAGATTATACATTCATATACTGATTTGGTTTTTACGAGCTGAACCAAACGAACCCAGCGAAACGTCTCGTTCATGAGAGTGTTTGGCCAGTCCGTCCAGCCTGGGTTCAAGAATGAATTTGGTTATATGGAAAGTCGAGTTCTTCTCATACCTGGTTCGCCAAAAGAGGCGGGAAAACCATAAAATCTGACAAGGAGTTGTCAGAGATCTTCTGAGAAGTGCTTCAGTTCCAGAATCCATGCGGTTTCATGATTTCTGCGAGTCACAGGATATGTTTGACAACAATTTGCTTCAATCTTTTACGCATATTTAATGGTGACCTGTATTATCTTGTGTCTGCAGTCTACGTGACAACATCAGCCAATGAAGACGGACAATCCTGGTCTGTTTTTTGTAGTGACAAGTACATCGATGTTTGTCTAGCGAGCGAATACGCGTACGCCTGGATCGGAGATTCGGAATACGTAAGTATTAGCAGAACTGCTGCAGATAAGCCCATCAGCTGTGGACGGATAATCCGGTGGTAGTCAGGAGCAAGTGGTAAACCACTAGGTACTGTAAAACACTTATTTGTTTAGTTCTAATGTGTTAGCTATAATCTCTTTGTAAATATATATCTTTGGATGAGGGTGGGGCGAGGTATCTTCTGTAGTCTGCAATTCTAGTGACCTTTTGTGAAAACGAAGCCCAAGGTTTTGTTGTGGCTTCTGGAACTCGTTTGTTATGAGCCGAGCAGATGTATGTTTCTCATCTTATGCCCCATTAGTCGTGCACATGGATGCTTCCGCCTATGCAGCTATCATTCTGGTAAGGAAAATTTCGCAGGTTTTGACTTACTCGGCAACATAGACTTTACCGGTTCCACCAACATGAACTTGTCTATCCATCCCAAAATTCAACCTCCGAATGTAGATCGAACATATGGTATCACAATATTGGATGTGTCAGCTCCAGTTAAGTTTAACTTGAATCAAGCTCGGCAAAGTTTCTCCGTTGGCCTGCAACCTAACCAGCAGTAATGTTTTTCAATCATACGGCTCCGTTTGTGAAACTGGTTTTAAATTTTTCATATACATCCAAGTTCCCAAATGCCTACTCACCACTTCCACAAACACCATCAACAACGCCATCACCAATTTGGTTTTGAAGCATGAACAAGATTTACGTGAATTCAGAAATCACGACAACCCGATGACTTCAAAATAAAGGAGGCGTTAGTTTGATATCTAAGCTTTCTAACTATCCTCTTGATCACGTGAACCTCTGACTTTGCAAAGGTATCGAGAGGTATGCATAGGAACATAAAAGAGTCTATCAAATGTCAGAGTGCCGAGGGTGTACCTCGCCCCCTTAGAGGAAGACTGTCTGAGGGCCCCTGTGTTTGGGCAATGTTCTGGAAACTGTGCACTTGAATTAATGTTGGTAGAGCGCTTGTTGTCATCTTTGATTCAGGTCGCCTGAATAAGTGTCTTGGGCTGCCGGAGCATCAGAATTATTGTGGTAGTCCAACCAAGTTTTTCCCCATCCATTTTACTTCTTTTCTTTGGAAAAGGAATTCGAATGAATTTGAATGCCCACAGGGAATCGTCAGTGTTGAATACGGATGCTGACAATGATGACGTGGATGATCATTTTGATGATGATGGTAACAATGGATCTCCTGAACGCCGTCGTCTCAATAAATCTGTCGAAACGAATTTGGTCGGATAGACATTCACTCGGGTGTTGGGTCATCGTCAATCGAGTTTTTATTATTCTCACATGACCTGATTCATCACAAATGAATGACATTTAATTGCTACACTAGCAGACGATTCTTTATTCAAAACGCGTATCCTGCTTTCTCACAAAAGTTAGCTGTGCCATGCAGTGGGCATGTTTAGTTACTGAAAATTGGGAAGGGTGTCGGATTCCGTGCTCAGTCCGGATTGTCATAACCTAGAGATGAATTCAACTTGCCGTGACAAGAAGGAATTAAAGGTTTGAATGAAAGGTTTGAATACTGTTGGTGTGTTTCGCCTTTCAGAATTGGGTCCACTTGACCCTTCCAGTTCTTGGCTGGAGACAGCGAATGATATGGTGACCCGGCGTTGATAGTTTCACGGTTTTGCGTACATTGGATCAATCTTAAAATTGCGTAAGCGTATTCACATACTTCACATAGCCTGCCTTTGTCATTATCTCTCTCCCACGTCCAGCATGACTTGAAAACGCATACACTGGATCAACAGTACGAGGAAGTGAAAAAAAGAACAGCATATAGTCACGTGATGAGGTACGGTGAGATGGTGAGTCACACACTGTCACGGAGAAATTCAGTTAAGTTACTTGTGAGAGACCAAACTGTTATGGAAATTAAATGACGGTTGTATTTCGATATCTTTGAAATTTGCCGGTCAAGTGGGAAATAGCTGATTGGGATTTCAGGTTCCATAGACGAAGTTCAGCAAGGTAGCTAGTCCAGCCATTTAGATAACCATGCCCGCCGGTGTCACTTTCCCGATAACCAAGCAATGGCATTGGTGCTTTATGCAAAATTTGTCCCTGCTTTATTGTACAAACAGAAGTCAAAACTTTATGAACCAACGACAAGTAACTCGGAGGAAGAATGAATTGACACGATTCCTGAAACTTACACCGGAAAAGTTAAAACTCAAGGAGCTAGTATACGTAATCAGGCGATGTGGATTTCCGTGACTGAAAGATGTGACGTTTTTTGCTGTCTAAATGAAAGCCAATCACAATGCAGCTAAGTCCCTTGTGGCAGAACGTTTATCAAATATCTACTGGGGTGAGGTACACACTTCTTCTGACTCCCAATAACGAGAAAACACCTATTCAGTTCTTCTCGGTTTTCCAGCATAGATTGGCTTCCTCAAAAAGCGAAATATTTATTCAAATAAGAAAGTTCTGCTGGGCAGCAATATTTGGTAATGTAAAACAACATGGGTACAGATGATTAATAGAAGCACGTCCGGGACTCATCGTGATGAAATTCAAGTTTAAACTATACTGTGTGGCGACGCCGTTGGTGAACTTGCTGACTGTGTTACGTGATTCAGACACACGCTCAACCAAGCGCACATTCGAAATCCACATCGACACGTCGGATACTGCGCTTCAGTCCAATTCGCAGAAATTTAGTCAATGTAGATTTGAACTTCATCATGGACCCGAACAAGCAAACTTAGGTGATAGCAATTTTGATTAGGTGGACATTAATGAAACACCTTCATATTTGCGAAACGGTTTCGGAATCAATGTCTCTTGATCAGTCGGATGTTTCAACGTGAACAAGTGAGTACTAGGGTGTAAAACTACGGTTTAAGGGTGTATTGATCAGGGTGCCATCTTCGTTGATAATACACTGATAGGTGGCTGTTTATTGTTTATTTCAGGCGATGAAAAGTCTCCCAGTTGGAAAATTCCAAGGTCATTATGACTTACCCATGTACCGGAATGACAGCACAATACAAGTATGTACTCGGTGCCGTGTTCGATATTTCTTCAAAAAACCAAGCGACTACTACACACTACAATGACATTCTAATAAGCTGCCAATTCGGAGGCAGAAAAGCCTACAGTCCCATTTAATATCGACAAACAGTGCTAAATCAGGACTGATCAATAACCTCAATTAGGATGTTTTCTTTTGTTGGAAACAAGAGTTACTGCGACCAACAGCGCCCATCCGAGAACCCTTTTCATGTGGTTTTCTACATATAACTCAATAGATTGCTAAATAAATACATAGATAGATAAATAGATGGATAGATGAATAGATAGATAAATAGATAGTTAGCCAGATAGATAGCCAGATACATAGGCCAATAGACAGATAGATAAACAGTCAAACTGACAAACTAGTTGACAAATTGACTGACAGACAGACTGGCAGACTAACAGATAGATAGCCACGCAATTAGATGGATAGCGGCCAGTCTACATAAACACAAATCGTAAATCAAACACATGGAGCTTCTGATGATTACCTGTAGCATGGTCAGTGATAATCGGGCTGATGTCGAAAACCTTTCAATCCAAGGGACAAGCATTTATCTGATTGCAATTATTCGTGGATTTTATGTTATACCTCCCGATCGAACATGGTATTTACCACTAATCATTATCACTTGCTGAACACAAAAGCTACCTATTTCTGCCAAAGCGCGTTGTCTCATTAAGAATATTGGTTGGATTTGTTCACGGCATAAAATAACACACGATAGTTGAGATCCCGTTCCAAATGTTTAGCAAAATATATGAAAAGTTTATTGCTGTTCTGCCTACCCAAAATGACTTACGGGCGACTGAATTTCCGCGACACTTTGCGTAACTATGGAAACCGAGTGGAGTGGAATTATTTCATCTTAACACTGAATAGTCTAGGAAGACAATTCTTTCATTCGGCATTGTAAGAGCACCTGTTGTTAATAAATGTTTTGTTTCC